CATTATATAAATTTCAGGTGTATGTCTGGGCCTGCCTGGTGGCGCCGGTTCGGATCCCGGGCATGCACCGACGCACCGCTTGGCAAGCCTTGCTGTGGCGGCGTCCCGTATAAAGTAGAGGAAGATGGGCACGGATGTTAGCCCAGGGCCAGTCTTCCTCAGCAAAAAAAGAGGAGGATTGCAGATGTTAGCTCAGGGCCCATCTTCCCCCCCCAAAAAAAATTTCAGGTGTATGTCATAATTCAACTTCTAATGGAATATATTTTCTAGTAGAAACAAAGTTAGTGGTACATGTTCGTAGTTTTCCCAGCCATGTCTGAAAGACTGTTAGTACTCAGATTCCAGAACTCTGGGAATGATTGGCTGCTTTTTAATGGGGGTTGATGATCGCATAATGAAGACAAATGACCAACCATACCTCCGTAGAGCCGCCCAACGCTCAGGGCAACTTCCTGTCCTGTGGACTCCATTACTCTTCAGGTAAATATAGGTCAGCCTTGTATATCCAGCCTCACTGGGACAAAGCACACTTCAGATCCTCGCCATTTGAATACTCTGAGAATGTACTGCAGGATATATTTTCCCTAAATGGAGGAATAGTCACTGCAAAGCTTCAATGAGACCATAATTGGCTGTGGAGACTCTAGTTTATTGTGGATAAGCACACTGTTCAGATGGAAGAAAAACTACTTTATTCTAATTGCTTCACATAATAAACCAGCGATTCCAATGAGCAGGCCAGGATAAATGTTTTGCTTGGTATAAAAGAAGCAGTTTACAAGAATCAAAGGAAATCCAGGGGATTGTGTTTCTGTGCAACTTTTGCATCAAGCTAAGGTCCTCATGTGTGGATGCTTACACGTTACAGAGCAAGGAGATTTCGCCTTTAGCTGTTTGTGGATGGCCTTTGTTTTGTTCATACCCATTAGAACTTTACACCAAAATGACTTGCAGCCTCTGCTCTAAAAAGAGGTCGGAGCTCCTCTCTTACTAGATGGATTTTGTTACCTCCTGACTTGAAAATGTCTTCCAAGACAGTTGATCATCTATTCAGTTTCAGACTTTACAGTCACCTCTAATTTTGGTGTAAAGTGTTTTTTGCCAGCTGGATTGTCCTCTTCAGTTATTAAACACATCTCCGTAGTTTTTTGGCTATTTCCTCGAGTCAAATCCACCTTAAGAATTCAAGAATTGCCATCGTTGATGAATTCATGGAGTGGGCATGAAGCTCTGTAGCTCATTCCCCAACAACAGCCCTAAAAATCTTTTGTAAAATGGCAGTGTCACTGGCATTGGGGTATACATTTCTCTAGTTATTTTTAACCTTGCTGGGATCATGGGTCCCTATGAGAATATAATGGAAAGCACCTCCTCCCAGACAAATAAACATCTGAATATATGTACGCGTTTTCCGTATCATTTCAAAAGGGTTTGTGGATCTCTAGGGTATATTCAGGGATCTCCTATGGTTAAGAACTTCTGTTTTAAAGGGACATCTTCGAATGAGATAGCATTTATTTTGATTTGTAGTTTAGATATGTTTGTTAAAAATTCAATAGTTTCCTCATGTACCATCACAGCTTAACTCTATACATGTGCTATTCTATGTAGACGTATGTAATAGACTACATTAAAAATGATCTACTGTTTAGAATTTCTGTTTTATGTTTTTTTTATTTTAATCTACTTTAAATATTCTTTTAAACCTTTTTCAACTTTCTAAATGAGGAGTTTTTTTTAAATTTATGAAAGTATTTCTTTTTTATTCTTGTTAATCTTAAAAGATAATCTTTCTCTAGAACTTTGGCTTGAATATTCTACGTAATATTTGCACTTGAAAAAAATTCTCTAATAGGACATTGACCTTAAAGATTTTGAAAGTCAGAATCTACATATAAATTTAATTCCAGTTCTCTGCTATTAAAATAACATTGACTGAATCTCAGAATTAGGTGAAAACTCTTTTACATTTTTTTGAACATTACCAAATGATAATTTTTTGAATTAAATAAAATATGAATCCAAGGTGCTGCAAGAATATATACAACTACATTTTTCATGGTAGTTTATAGAACTGACATAGAAATAATAAACTCTCTTAGTGACCATATATGGTAGATATATTTTCTCTCTTGCTCATTATGAATAATGATTTTAGATACATATGCAGTGTAGCTTTCATCACCTCCTAAGCAGAAAAGCTCCATTGTCATTTCAAACCCACAACTAAGTGTAATGTAATAGGACCCATGATTTAAAACATTCAGGATCAAATCCAATTTTGCTAAAGTTCATGAGACTGGAAATTCAAATAGCCCTTTTAATAGAGAAACTATAGTAGAAACAATCTTCCTTAGCCACCTAGTTATGTGTGGGTGCTGTCATGAGTTTATACTTTTTATCCTGCTTTATTGCTGTATGTGGAGGTGGAATATTTCTAGAGAAGAGGCTCACATACAAGATAAAATGAACTTGTGGGTTTAGTGATGAGTCATATTGATATGAAATCCTTGTCATCACACAAAGACGTGCATTTGCATACACACGGAATATACTCTAACATCATATTTCTAGGATGCATAGTCTTTCATATATTTTATTTCTAAAATCAAGACATATTCTTAGATTTGATAGTGTGTTATAGTTAATTTGGTAGCATTATTTCCTAATCCTACACAAAATAATTGTGCAAATAACAACTGATGGTGTCTTGGGTTCAATGAAATACATTATATATAGATTAGAGCACATAAGATTAGAGGTACCTTAGCAATGTAAAACAACTCCCCAAGGAAATTGAAATTAAAGGGTCAATTAATTTGTTAAAGACACAAATATTGGTGACAAAACAGGTACATTCTAGAGATTAAATTTTGTAATACTTTCACTCATCTTATGTGAATCATTAGACCATAAACTTTTAAACTCAGTGTAAATCACTTTTTAAGAGACATTTCTTATGTAATATTTGGTGCATGAAACATAATGTTTATGTAGGTTAGAAAGCATAACGAATTATTGTTGAGTGTTAATGAATAAATTTTAACTACATGCAAAATCTTGGATAATCTTAAAATGTTAAGGTTGAGAGAAATGAGTTTTGCCCAAGACTACATGTCAAATAATGCCATTTTCTATAAACAAACAGAAAAACTAAAACACTTTAAAAATTAAAATTTAGCCTGATTCATGTGGTACCTTTTTCAATCATTGCTCATTTTCAGTGTTAATGTGGAAAAAAGTATTCAAATGATTTTTTTTAATCCACACGTTAGAGCCAAAATTAAAAAAAGGCATATTTTAATGGGAGCTAGTTTAAAACAATTTGACATGAGTGAGATAACAGTTTGGAAAATGTGCCTATGCTTAGTTTTGCTTCCAAATTTGGACTTTGAAACTTATTGTCAGTCTCGGAAAGAAATAAGAAGCTGTGCAGATAATTAAACATTTGCCTTGGGGGAATTATTTGCAGTTAATTAAAACCATACACTTTGGGTGTATACTTGCTTCACTGGTTATTAAATTTGAATCATATGTTAACCACCTGGGTTTCTCACTTGTCTATCAAATGTTGCTTGTGGCAGTTTCAAGAAACAAACTTTCTAATAACATTCCAAACCATATTGTTTAAAGCTATCTCCTAGTTTGAGAAGGAAAAGAGGGAAGAGAGGAAGGTAAACAAAGAAAGAATGACTTATTTTAGATTCCATTTCATTTAGCTCTGTTAGGGAGTTAAAACTCAACTGAGTGATATTAAGTCAGTAGAGAACCCGTTTGTAAGTAACAGAAGTGTCAGTCTACCATCCCCACCTCTCTCCATGGCCATGTGTGTACAAAATTAGCTCCTGGCACCAGAGGGAAAAGGAGTGAGAGGAGAGGAGGGCAAAAGGTGTAAAGGGGCACATATGTATGGTGACGGATAAAAACTAGACTCTTGGTGGTGAACACGATGTAGTCTATACAGAAACTGAAATATAATCATGTACACCTGAAATTTACACAATGTTATGAGCCAATATGACCTCAATAAAATACTTTAAAAAAAAAAGATTAGCTTATGGCTTTTGGATATCTCTCAGTTACCATCCTTTTAGCTGCATGAAAAATATCATGGAGGTTACTAAATTGTAGCCTCTGTGAGGACAGAGACTGGGTGTTTTGTTTACTCTTGTCTCCCCAGCATTAAGAACAGTGTCTGGCACAGAGTTGACCCTTAATAAATATTTGTGGAATGAATGAAAGAACCTATTTTCTGTCTTCCTGCTGACCCACTCACATGCTCTTTCCAATGGCTCTTTAAAGGGCCTCCTGAGAGGCCTCAAACATCCAACAAGGGACCTTTTCTTGCTTTCCAAGAGTCCATCACTGAAACTCTTTTACCTACGTTATTTCCTGTAAAGTACATCATATGACAAAAAAAAGATTAACTTATGCCGATTCCACATTTAAACGTGCCATACGAGGGAGAGGATGAAATTGCACAGAACAGAAGGTTTGCATTCCTCCTTTGCTATTGTTCTACTGGTACGGTTCCTGAGGAAGATGAACTTAATTACTACTGGTTTCAAAGCTCTACAACTGGCTCTTTCAAGGACTCAAGGCTCCCCTGTATGAACAACTACAGTAATGGAAGCATTAAGAACATTAAAATTAGATATTCCTTTAATCTTCTCTATTTTGCCTTCCTGTCATATCCTTTTGCACAATTCTCCTAAGATTTTCACTGATGCATAAAACCTGCTTATATTTTCTTCTTTGTTGCAAAAAGATGTCCCAACCAAATCTCTACCATCTTTACCTTGTAAACTTTGTGCAGATATCTTATGCAGTATTTTAAGAAAAGCTAATTTATTGATTAAAATATTTAAGTATTTTAATGGTATTCTTAAAAAGTAGTAAATTCTGTCCCCCAAATATAGATCTATCATGTTTGTTCTGGAAGCTGCTCTATTTCCCAGGTAAAAATGCTGACTAGAGGTTTTACTTGTTTGTTGCGTCAGATTCTGCAAAGGATGACAATATTACAAAAGACAATGAAGTAATAGATCATTCTGTGTGTGACCAAGATCAACCCAATGGTAAGTCGTGAGATTCTTTTTCGATTTTTTTTTCTGCTGAGGAATATTACATTTTTAAAAACTCAGATTTTAGTTTTTCTGGAAAAATATTGAATCTGATACTATTTTATTAGAGCTGAATACTGATTGGTAGCTGCCACATTTAGAAAGGACATTTCTTCTCTACAATTCTCATCATTCATTATTTTTTTGTACCAGGCTGGCTTCATTTATTTTTGTTACTTTCCTGAACTCTATAGGCGTTGGGTTTGCAACTACTGAAATGAAGATATGATAACAATGAGAATAAATGTAAGACATATACAGAATAGATCCAGGAGATAAAATCTACATATCCTTGGATACCAAGAAAAGAGAATAGAATAAATGGAAATGAAGCAATCTTTAGAAAAATAGCAGAAAAAAAAAGTTTTTCTAATGCAAACCAGTTCCTCCACCCCAAATGTGAGAGTACACATTATATTTATAGGCAAAGATAATAAAATCTCAAATGAGAACAGAAACCTATAAAGCCTCATGGAATTTATGAAGATCAATGATAAAGAAAGGCTTTTAAAGCATTGAGAAAAGTCAAAACCAGGTTACAAGCAAAATCATCAAAATCAGATTAGCATTAGCCTTCTTCTTCCACAACTCTAAATACTAGAATAAAATGAAGTAACATTTCCAGGCTCTAAAGGACACAGTTTCTATATTTAGTGAAGCTATTATTCATGCATGAAGTCAAGGGTAATATTTTCTTAGGAATACAAAGATTAAGAAAATATGCCACCCAGTATTCTTTCTGAATAACCTAGCAAAAGGCCTGTGCAAAAACAATATATATAGAAAGGAAGGAACAATTCAAGACTGAGAAAGGCACAGTTGAAAAAGACTATATAACAAGAGACTCATTAAATGGATGAAAATGTTGAAATAATTATTTCAAAATTAGTATCAAAATATCTTACTTAAATGTTTGCTTTTACCTTTGAAAATTATAGTATGTGTTGTTTAAAAGTGAGAAAGAAAAATGAGACACTTCTGCTGTCAGTAATGAAAGTCTAAATAATGTAGACCATTGCTCCCACTGAAGACAACTAGACAACCTAAACAAAAAAAAATAATACATATATATATAGAGAGAGAGTCTGTTTAAAGGCATCAGAGAGGTAACAAGTTAGAGAAGAATTGTCAGGCTAAGTTATAGGAGAAAAGGGATATCCAGAGATGTGAGCTCAGAATTTGAAACTGTTTCTAACTTAGGGCATTTGCTGATTCTGTAAAAGGTGTCTTAAGTCCCATTGCTCAAAAGGACAAAGGACTCTGGTAAACTCCCTGTGTTTTGGGTTAAAACTCCAAAGATATGTACCCTAGCAGGAAGAATAAATCAGCAGATCAGCCTTCTAAAAGATCACTGCCCAGCTTTGAATCATCTCAGTCCTCAAATTCAATTAAGACCAACCCAGATTGCTAGTCCCTCTAGGCACCTGAAAAAAACACATGTAAAATATTTACTAGATGAAACAAAAAGAGTGTTATAGGTTTCAAACCATTTACATAAGCAGTCTGTTAAATATAATGTCCAGCACACATGTACAAAAAATTAGCTAGAAAAAAATGAAACAAGGTAACATGAAAACAAATAGTCAAGAGAAGCAGGGCCATTTGGGCTGAAAATATTAGAGTTATATAAACACAAAGTATAAAATAATTATGCTGACTATGTATAAGGAGATAAAGACAAGACTGAAAATTTTAGCTGAGAACTAGAAATTCAAAACAAAATAAAAATAAAAGAAGAAAAACATGAAAAGAAATTCTGGAAGTAAAAGATGCCACAGTTGAAATGAAGACTTCAATAAATGGATTTGGGTTTAACAGCATATTAGATACAGATGAAAAAGAATTTGTGAACCAGAAGTTAGGTCAGAAGAATAGATCCAAAATAAAAACAATAGAGAAGGAAAGCATGGCAAACATTAAAGAAAGGGAAAAGATGGAGGATAAAATGACAGTCTATCATATATGTAATTGGAGTCCCAGACAGAAAGGAGAGAGGCAATTTGGCAGAAGTAATATTTGAAGAAAGTATGGTGAGAAATTTCCTACACTGATGAAAGAGATCAAGCCACATGTTCCAAAAGCCCTTTGATCTCCAAGCAAAATAAATCCACAGTAGGCCCATCATAGTAAAACGGCTGAAAGCCAAAGATAAACAGAACATCCAAAAAGCAATCTTCAAACAATTGGACTGATAACTGACTTTTCAATAGATAAAATGGAAATAAAAAAGACAATACAACAGAATAGCTACCAACCAAGAATTCTAAACCAAGGGAAAATGTATGTTTCAAGAAAAAAGGTTAATTAAGGACATTTCAGACCAAAAAAAGAAAAGGGAAGTTCATCACCAGAGAATTCTTGTGTTCATGAGGTGGTAGGATATTGATCTCAGATAGAAGGTCAAAGACAAAGAAGGAATTAAAGGCAAGGTAAATGGTAATTATTGGATAAGTATAAATCAATATTGATGGTACAAATCAATAATGATGATACTAATAATAATGTTTCCTGGGAGTTAAGACATACATAGAATTAAAACATACCACAATAATGGCATTTATTGGAATGAGGTAAATTAAGTTTGTGTTCTAATGTTTTTCCATTGTCGTGGAGAGTAAAAGTATCAATTAATACTAAAATTTGGTAAGTCTCAATGATACCTGAGAGTTAAGAAATTAGGTGAGCCCTGTGGTTACCCCAACGGACTTCCTGAAGAGACTTTCCAGGCCACAGTGCAGAGAGGAGGAACCCAGGCAGAGTCCACCACACTCCCTGAGTTGAGGAGACAGAGCTGAGAGTCCAGGGAGGCTGAGGTATCTAGCGTTTACAGAGCAAAGTACTGGAGAGAAGAGAGCTCCACAGAGTGCACACTCTAGACAGCTACAGAGGGAATCCCACAAGTCTTCAGCTGAGCACTGATCAGTTCATGCACGCGAGGAAATTATCCAAGGCTGGGTAAAGAAGACTAAAGGATTTGAGGGAGTGATACCTGGAACTTACACAAGGCTGGGAGGAGTAACTGTTCCCCCCACCCAGACTGGAAAACCTAAAACATTATAGAGAGCTTAGAACGGTTTGCCTCAGTGACGGAGCAAAACCGACAATATACTAAACACTGCTCTTGTCCTCCCCAATACAACATAAAAGTGAGACTTGAAAGGATCAAACTGCTTCTGAGTAACTTAACTGCATCCCTGAATGAAGCTGAAGAATATTATAGGAAAATAAATGTATCTCACATCCAACAGAGTAAAATCGACAAAATTACCAGGCATGCAAAGAAGTATTGGAAAACAAATCTCTAAGCATCTCTACTTTTTCTGCACATTTTATGAACAGAGGCACTGATTGCCTTTGTTTTGGCCAAACTTTTCAAGGTTGTTTGTATAGTGAACAATCTTGGAAGACAGAGAAAGTGTCTCCCTCTGGAGCAAAAAGCAGGCTTGCTTACAGCCTTGGAAGATAGGAATAGTGCTTCCCTCCAGATCAAAGAGTAGACATGCTTACTGTTCATTTAAAAAGATTCAGGGCCAGCCCCAGTGGACTAGCGGTTAAGTTCGGCACCCTCCGCTTCAGCAGCCTGGGTTCACTTCCCGGGTGTGGACCTACACCACTCGTCTGTCAGTGGCCATGCTGTGGTGGCGGCTCACATAAAACACCTAGAAGGACTTACAACTAGGATATACAACCATGCACTGGGGCTTTGGGGAGGAAAAAAAAAAAGGTTCAGATTCTCTAAGATCAAAGTTCCTCCCCTGTAATACAACGACTGAGTGTACAGGTATCATCTGGTCACCCTGTAGGAATTAGGGCTCAGGGAACAGGTACAAATACTCTGGCTACTGCTATTGCTCTGAATAATAAACTGTTCTTCATCTCTGACCTGGAGTCTTAATGTCTTCTGTCAGCATCCATGGAATTGTGGCTAGCTAACTTGTTAATTTGCAAGTAGGATGAAATCTCAGACCCTTCCCAATTCTGGACAAGAAGTGGGAAAGTATGACCTGTAGGAGAAGAATAATAAATTAATAGAAATTGATCCAGAAATAGCACAGATGGTGCAATTAATATGAAAGGTCATGTTACAAGTCATTATAACTGTATTCCACACCATCCAGAACCTAAAGGAGGGATTGTCCATGTTAATTAGAGATATGGAAAACATAAAAAGGCCCAAACTGAATTTCTGGAGATCAAAAACAAGAATGTCTGAGATGAAAATTACACTTGATGGGAATGATGGCAGATTAGACACTGCAGAAGAAAAGATTAGTGAATTTGATGATGTAGCAATACATACTATCCGAATTGAAATACAGAGAGAATAAATGATTGAAGAAAATGAAAAGAGCATCAGTGAGCTACGGAACAACTCCAAGGGTAATTCCAATTCCAATATACATGAATTGGAATCTCTGAAGGCAGGTGTGGGAGGGGGAGACAGAAAAAATATTTGAAGTAAAAATGGCTGAAATTTTTCAGAAATTTGATGGAAACTATGAACCCACTTATCCAAGAAGTTCTGTCACCCTCAAGCAAAAGAAATATAAAGAAAATTATACCTCAGCACATCATAATTAACTTACTCAACACCCGTGATAAAGAGAAAAATCTCAAAAACAATCAGAGGAAAAACACACATTACACACAGAAGAACAAATACAAAGATGAAGCAGAAGTCTCACTGGAAACCATAAACTACAATTACAGGCTAAAACATGGATGAATCTCACAAGGATAAGGTTAAACTAAGGAAGGTAAAAAAGCATATATATTGTACAATTTCATTTACATCGAGCTCAAAAAGCAGAAAAAAATAAGTATAATATTTAGAAAGGCATGTATAAGTGGTAAAATGATAAAGAAAAGCTAGGTAGTGATTACTGTGACTGTAATAGTCGTGTTACACTGACATGTGCTTGGTGACTGGGGAGGAGGTACTGATTGGGCTATGA